TGTTACATGGATCGATGACGTGGCACGATGAATTTTAGTTTTGGAGGGAAATTTCCTAATCTCGATTTACTGTTTTCATTTTTTTATTTTAGAATAATTTGTGCCTGATTTTGTTTTCGCCGTATTTTTGGAGTCTTTGCATGTTTGAAATAAATTTTCAAATATAAATAAAATCAAACTACTCTTTACAGCATCTACACTGTAATATATATATATATATATGTATAGTTTAATATTGAGGTTTTTAATTTTTGTCATAATCTCAATTTGCTTCTTAGATATTTCTTTTCTTAATTAAGTTTTTATTTTTGAAAAATTAAAATAATTAGGTCTTTTCCGTTAGTTTCTTACTAACATGCTTAAATGAGGTATCAATTCTTGATTTTTATGAACTTTTTAATTATTTTTATTTTTTATTTATTTTTAATTTTAATTTTTAAAAAATAAGATAAAAATATCATATGTCAAATTGGTATTGTTACACGTGATAATGACAGTATGATACAACACTGACAGTGTCACGTATCATTGTCACGGTACATGTTATTGTATTAGTCTGAGTTTGGTCTTGTATTTTTATATTGTCTCAATTTGGTTCTTCTACTTTTATTTTGTTTCAATTTAGTCCTAATTTTAAAAATTAAACAATTTTATCTCTCTCCAAATTCAAACAAAAATTAAATTGTATATAAATCTTAACAAATATTTTTATTAAATATTTTTAACAAGATTAAGTTTGATTATATTTTTATTTAATTAACTATATAAATGTTAATTATGTTCTTTAAATATACCTATAAGAGTTAAAAAACAGTCACATAGCTTATTAAACAAATTATTGATGTGAAATTTCATTTTTTTAAATAAAAAATTTGAGAAAGTTTTCTTGAAAACGGTAATTAGAGGTAGTTTCTTCTTTCATGACCTTCCGTAGAAACTTTATGCACGAAAATTCACACCAACATGTTATGTCACTCTATTTTTAAACCATTATAGGTATATTTAAATAACATAATTATCATTTATATAATTAAGTAAATATAAATATAATTAAATTTAATCTTGTTAAAAATATTTAATAAAAATATCAATTTTAATAATAATATTTTTTAAGATTTATATACAATTTAAATTTTGTTTGAATTGGAAGAGGGACAAAATTGATTAATTTTTAAAACTAAGACTAAATTGAGACAAAAGAAAAATACATGGTTCAAATTGAGACACAATAAATAGGGACCAGACTATTGCAATGACATGCAGCCTAACAATGACATGTGGCACTGTAAGTGTCATGTCACACTGTCATTGCCACGTGGCACAATATGAATTTGACATGTGGCATTTTTAATTTTATTTTTAAAAAAATAATTCAAAAATTCAAAAACGAGGAACTCACACGTGTCACCTCCTTTAACAGTGTTAGTATAGAACTAACAACAAAAACCTAATATACTTAAAAACATTTTAATATCATAAAACTCGAAAAATAATAATTCATAACAAAAAAAAAGGTGTACAAATTTTTTTATAATTCATTATATAAAATTAGTAGAGATAAAAGGTGTCCTTCTTTTAAAAATTTATCAAACTACCAAATAATTAATTATAGGTTTAACCCTCAGATCGTACTCATATGTTATGGAATTCCAGGTGGGTCCTTGTTTTTTAAATTGTCAAAATTGGATCCATATATTTGTAAAATTGAGTCAATTTTGCCTTCTTCGTTAAGTTTTGACGTTGAGAGATGTTGAGCTATATTTTTTTAAATGGCATGGCATTATGTATTAAATTGAATGAGTTATGTGTTCTATAATCAACAATTCCATGTGAAAAAGTAAATTTGTTATGGTCTTGGGACCACACTACTTCTTCCTCAACTGCACACTAACCCGACGAGCCACCTCCCTGCTAATGTAAGTGGAGGATTTCGTCGACGACGCGTCGGAGGAGTACGAAGCGTTCATCGAAGATAGGTTTTTCAACACGGCCTGGTGACGCTCCTGCCTTTGCAAAATAAGCAGAGGAGGAGCGGAGATGCATTGCGGTGGCGCGTTTGAAAGCGCCACCGACTTCTTCTCTATCTCCGACGTCAATTTCTTCACCGGCTTGCGTCACCGACTGCGGGTCGGACTTTATTACCTGCCAGGACGAGCACTGGACGCGCGTCGGGGTCGACGATCGTGAAGTTCATGGATCGGACTCTGGGTGGGTCTGACATTGCAAACCCTGCACTCAAAAACCTCTCTTTTCAAACCCACTCTCAGGTCAATGCCGAATTCAAAATTCAAATTTTAAACCTTCTCAAACAGAATAAAAAAAGCTATTTGAAATTTGAGTAGTGGGACTACTTAGCATGATTAAAGGGTTTTCCTTTTTTCTGGTTCTATAATTTCTTATTTGCAAGTTGGATTAGTGAAGAAGGTGTGAAGGTTGGATCAGTGAAGAAGGTGTGAAGGCGTTTTTGTTTTTGGTTTTGCAGGTTGCGGTTTTGTGAATTGTTGATGGAGGAGCGAGGCTTCTGTGCGATGAAGGCGAATTAGTGGTTCATGGTTTCACGTTCTCGCGAGGAAGACGATGGAGGCTTCGCGTGGCGGTCACTAAGGCGCGACTTGGGATTTTAAGGTTTTTCTGGCTTTGGTTTGAGTTTCCAGGTTGACGAATATGGAGAATAAGGTTCCCTGGTAGGTTCTATTTTTGGTGGTGCGTTTTCTGGTTGGGTTAGAAGAAGATGGTAGATCCGGCGAGATTGACATTGGAAGATTGTGGCTTAACGGTGTTGATGGTTGTGTAGCACGGTGGTGGTTCTGGTGAGGATGGTGGTGGTGCATGATTAACTACGACTAGGGTTTCTATGGAGAAGACGAAGTTAATGGGTGAGAGATTTTTTATTTTTTTTTAATGGAAATTTTTTATGGTAAGAATTTACTTTTCCACGTGGAATTGTTGATTCTACAAGACATGACATTTCAATTTAATACACAATGCCACGCCATTTAAAAAAAAATAGCTCAGCATCTATCAAGGTCGTCTGTCAAAACTTAACGAAGAGGGCAAAATTCGCTCAATCTTATAAATATGGACTCAATTTTGACAGTTTAAAAACAATGACCCACTTGAAATTCTCCAACAACAAATATGAGCTCTCTTGGTTTAAACTTTAATTATAAAAATAAACAATTTTTATAACTGTCTTATTATAATTAATTATTTAAAGTTAAAAAGACAATTGTTAAAGACATTAAATATTAAAAATAATTATTAAAAAGGTAAATTGAAGTTTTATTAATATAAAGATAAAAGTGTGATTATTTGGATTAAAAAGAAATTTAGTAAATAAACGAAGGAAATTGAAAATAAAGCTTACAAAAATTAGTGGATATGCGATAAAATTGATAAATTAAAAGATTATTTTAATTAATAAAATTGAATGATTATAATTTAATTTCTTATTATAAAATATAATTTGTGGTGAAATATATTAAAATAAAATAATGATAATTCATGCACCTAAACTTAAAATAAGATCGGAAAAAATTAATAAAGTTGACCGTTATATTAAAAATTAAGACTCAAATTTTTTTTATATATTGAGCTGAAATGATATTAATGCCAATCGGACTTATTTTCAATGAGTATATTTTTTTAAAAGAGTTTCATTGTATTGAAAATATCTATAATATGACACGAGTTTAATCTATATAATATATTAACATTAATGTTACCTCAAATCCTAAAAATATTAAACTTATGAATTTCTTTTTTATAATATTTAAATTTGTCACCTTTATTAAACATAGACCTAAATTTATGCTTAAATTAAAAAATATAAATATAAGTCTATATTTTATATTGGGTAAAAATAAAAATTCAATTCAATTCAATATAATTGAATGATATTTTCTCTTCCAATCTTTTTAATACAGTGAAGAAGTTATAAAGCTATCATTATATAGTATTCATTTGTATTAAATGCAATTCTAACTCTTTTGTATATTACTCCTTTATTTTTATTAATGGTGTTTTTAATTTTTTTTTCTGTAATATTTATACTGGAACTGGACAAACTAAAATATATGTAAACGTAAGGAATAAAATGTTATGTTGAGATTATGTAAGTAAAAGGATAATGGATTACGTATTTATTTAATTTATAAAAGTAGAGTCCAAGTTTGAGAAATAATTCTTAAAAAATAAAAACGTAGTTTGAGAAATATTTTCCCTCGCATCTTATCTATTTAGAATCCTGATCAATTGAAAAATTATAAACATTTCAAGTAAGACCATACCTAAGTACATCCTAATATGTATTATAATAAATATATTACTATAGTAAATGACAAGATATAATAAAATTTTTATCATAAATTATCATATAACTTATAATAAGATATATTACTATAGTATATGATAAGATATAAGAAAGTATTATATAACTTATAATAAGATATATATTACTATAGTATATAACAGTATATGATAAGATATAGTATACATCATATCCTAGTATGTATTTATAATAAATATATTACTATATTATATGATAAGATGTAATAAAATTTCTATAATAAAATATTATATAAGTTATAATAATATATATTACTATAGTATATGATAAGATATAATAAAATATATTACAATAGTATATGATAAGAAAATATAACTAATTTTTGTAGTGTTTTTAATAAATTTTATATAATAAAAATATTATAATAATATAACGAATTCAAATAATTAACTTTTACCGAAATTCAAAATTTCATGATTTTAGAAAAATATATATAATACAAATATTGCAATATTTATATAATGTAAGAAGCATGGTGATAAGAAAATATAACTAACTTTTCCCTTTACAGTAACATATAATGGAAATTTTGTATTTATTAGAAAGTTTTAATGAAATTTTTTATTTATAAGAAAGATTTAATATGTCTTCAATTATTGATAATTTCCGTACCGAATATGATATATCATTCAACGTAACCACGGGTTGCTGCATTTCATTCTCAAATTGAAGTGCCGTGTTGACAAGGTTAGGGTTAGGGTTTTGAGGCGCGGGAAAAGAGTTTTGGGGAAAATGGATGCCCAGATTGATCACTATGCGGTGCTAGGGTTACCATCGGGAGAAGAAGGTGCCAAGCTAACGGAGAAAGAAATCAACAAGGCCTACAGATGGAAGGCTCTGGAACTGCACCCCGACAAGAGGCCCGACGACCCCAACGCCGCCGCCAACTTCCAACAGCTCCGCACATCCTACGACATTCTCCGGGATGACAAGGCCCGTAAGTTATTCGACGAACTATTGCGTGTCAAGCGCGACCGCGAGCTCCGCCACTCACAGCGCGATGGAAAGCGCCGCAAGATGGTTTCCGATCTCGAACGCCGGGAGCGCGATGCCAACGCCCCCGACCTCGCTGCCAAGGAGCGTGAAGAGGAGGCCAGGATCGCGCGCCAGCTCAAGGAGGAGATCGCTAGAATTCGTGCCATGCACGGCATGAAGGCGGCGCCACCACCTCCACCGGAGACGGAGAAGGAGAGTGGCCGTGGCCGTGCTGGTGGGGGAGGTGGAGTGGATCAAGAGAAGGTTCTGAAGGTTTCTTGGGAAAAGGTGGGTGAGGATTATTCGGCTGATAAGTTGAGGGAATTGTTTTCAGAGTTTGGTGAAGTGGAAGATGTTGTCATCAAAGGGAGCAAGAAGAAGGGTTCTGCACTCGTTGTTATGGCCACTAAAGAAGGAAGTGTAAGTTTCTCCTTTCCAATTTTGTTTATTTCGGAGTGAGGTTTTAAATTGTTGGTTTTTTGGTAGAAATTGTTGAAAATAGACTTTATTCCAGGTTTACTAATCTGTAATTGTCGATTTATCCAGGTTGCTGCAACGGGAAGTGTGATCGGTCATCTTGCTAATCCGTTGCTGGTTTTACCTCTTAAACCGGCAACTATTGCAGATTCTTCCAGTTTTCCGAAGTCCGCTGAAACTGCCAAATTGAGTAATCTGGTTGGTGCTGGGTATCAAGCTTTTGAGGATTCTGTTCTGAAGAAACTGCAAAAGGTTTGACATTTGCTTGTATAATTTTCACAGTTTAAGTTGTTTCGAGCTGCGTTGTTCTTTATATAGTTAGTGTGTTTTCTTGTTAGAATTAAGTTGGTCTTGAATTTGATACGGTATTTTTCGAGCATTTGATACATTTTAAGGGGAATTTTGACTTAAATTAGTTAATTTCTCTTCAACTTAGGTTTATATACTGTTATTTTAATTTCTTGAACTTAGTTTTCTGATGTGAGTCTGATTTTGAGATCATTATCCCTCTGCTTTATTTCAGTTTTTTGTGATGAAATTTTTATCTTTTTTCTGTTAGTTGTATAGTGAAATGGCTATCAAAGTATCTTGTGTAGGATGCTGTGATTTTCCAGTAGTTTTTTCCAAGTTCAATTTAATTTGAATTCAAGGTCCTCATATTTGCAGTCACGACCCTATTTACTTATGGAAGCCGATATGGGTATTGTGGTTTGTCTAGCGTCTTGTATCCCCTTGTCATCTATAGCGAGCGTCAGGCTTATCGAACTTTTGTGTTAACTTTTGTGTCATCTATAGTATATCAACTTTTATGCATTTTATTTCTTTTTCATACAACTTAGCTTTTTATATACACATATATAGGAGTGAAGATGAGCAGGGTCAAGCTATTGTGGTTGGACTTGACTTTGGAAAAAAAATCAGATGCTTAAGCTTTGGTCATTTATTTAATCTACATATTTCCATAATCCATATTGGAACACGCACATGACACAAATGAACTACTCACGAGCTTTAATGCTGAGCTTTTAAATATTTGGCTTGGTTCATTTTAATAATTGAGCAAAATCTCAAGTTTGATTTTGTTTATTTAACCAAACAAATATACCTAAGGAGTAATTAATGGGTCGAGTCCAGTTAGTTTGACTCATTTACACCCCTTCACACATAAATGTATATTTGAACTGGTCTGTGACTTCTGCTGTATTCTCTCCGCTATATGAAGTAGCTGATAACTAGCTTTATGCTATCCACAATTAATAGCATTGAACATTATCCAATATATGGAGTTTGTGTGCTTGATTTTAATTGAATTCAGTGGTGGTGGTTGATCTATGAATGACTTTCTTGTGTCACGAAGTAACCGTGGCAGAAAAGGATGCACTGTTTTCAATTCTATAGCATGAAGCTGATATTAGTCCAAATCTGAAACACTTGTACTTGTAATGTTTGGATGATCTAGTTAATCATGGATAAATGAATCTCTAATGTTTATAATTTAATTTTCTTAGCTGTTGCCGTTCTATTGCAATGAAATTCTATTAATCCTAAAAAAGTCTTATTATTTGACTCTGATAATTGAAAAGGAGAATAACAGTTTAATAAGAGTAATTCACTAAGCTTGAGAATCCGTCAAGGATGAGTTTTGAACGTGTTTCCTTTAATTTTGATGTATAAACTGCTATTCTCAGTATAATGTGTTCATGTGCCTCCTAATACGGTTTATGACACCTGTCACTGATACCCTACCTGTTTTATTTACTTCTCTGTGCAGGCTGCGGAAAAGCAAAAATGATGCTGTCAGAATGATAAGCATAAGATTCAGTTATTTGGCTTGGTCATCCCCAATTCTATGTTTAGGTACAGAAATTACCATTGTAATGATTCATCACTAGTAATCTGTCAACTGATCTTTCTGTATCCAGATATACTAATTGAGGAGTAGCATACTAGAGACGACTGTTCACTGTAGAAATTTTATGTCATCATCTAGTTGGTCTTGCCAGCATATTACATGGTACAAACTTTATGATTCTCCTACAGAACTGTGACTGGTACATGGGTGCAGAAATTTACGAAACAATGTGAAATTTAAATCACTGTACATTCTCTGACCCCAGGCTGAAGTTTTATTTGATCTTATCTGTGTTTCTTGTTGTGTTAAATGGTTGAAAATTAATAAGAACAGCATTAAAATGCCTTTTTGCTACACTACCGGCATGGTTTTTGAAGGTGAAAAAGTTAATGAAAAACCTGACAATGCTATTTGGAATGGATAAAAAGATACTATATTGTCAATATAGAATTACCTGAGATTCAAAGTTCGTTACATAGTAGCTGAACTTATTTTTTATTAACAGAAGTATGTTTTTTTGCACCGCAGAATCTATGTTAATGAGTCTTGTTGATTTTTTAAACTAAGGTCCTTGGTTTTTCCATAAATCATGACAGTGGTAAAGATGTGAACTTGGTTAAAATAGGGTGATATGTTCTTGAGTGATATTGTTTTTGTATGCATGAATAAATTGTCTGAAAACTGAGTTATTGCACAGTTGGGTTAGTCCATTTTTTGCTAAGTCTTGGGAAAGTTCCTTTTCCAATTTCTTATTGTAGATACGAATAAAATACGCATAATTTTTAGGTTACTTCTATGCTGAATGCTAAAGAATTTATATGTATGTAGCCCTGGTTTCAAATTTTAAACTCTGTTGGAAAATTGTTTTTGTTTTTATCTCCTTTGAATTCATGTCTGTTGTTTTCTTTTTAAGTGTACTTCCTGTTCTGTTCTGAACATATGTTTGAGGATTATTGTCAAGTTGCTTTTAGTAATGGGAAAGCATGACTACTTCCCCTTAATAATTTGAAACTGCTCTCTCCCTCTCTCTCTACACACATTCTGTGATATTTGATAGTGTGTACAGATGAAATGAATTCTTCCCAGTTTCATTTTATTTTTCCTTACTTCAGGTTAAGAAAGTAAAATAAAAAATGCCTAACTCTTCCTTAATGCGGTATGGTTTTTGTTTGATTTTTAAATTGATTCATCCTTGATAATAAAATAGGGTAGAGACTAGATAACTAAATTTTCTTTTAAAAATATTACAAATCTTACAAATAGAAGTATCGAATCATTGTAAATCATTTCCAATTCCAAATAGGTAGAAGAGAGAGTTAGGAGCTGAGTTATACGGATAACTTGGTTTATAGCAAACCATACTAAGAGAGTTGAGTGTTAGTAACACATTTCTATCTGTTAAAAATTATTTTAAACTACAAAATCATGAAATATTC